CGTTGTGACTCACATAGTAGATACGTACAGTAGAGCGCTTCGAAAAAATAGATTTTTCATATGTTTTACTATGTGATTGACAAAAATTACGTAGACTTTTGTCCAGTGAGTGTATATAACTCATTGTTATTACCTGACAGCACAATGATATCTGAAGATGCTGTTGCTGTCCATCTTTTGTTATCAGCATAGCAGGACCCCTGGATATGCATAATTGGGGCTGTTCTCCTTGAGAATATGGTTGTGGCAGAACCACTTACAGATTTCATTAGTATGACCCATAGAGTGCAGAACAACAAATGTGTTAGGCTAATTGCTCGACTGCTTGAGTCCTTAAAATGCAGTTTCAAAAGGCTCCATGTCTATTACAATTCTGTGAAGAACTTTCCACTTAATAATGAAGTGTGATTCTTCCCATACCTTCAACATTTCAAATCCAACAACATTATACAGTTTGTCTATAATGACAAATTAATCGAGGACCCCAAAAAGACACTGTGGCTCACAAATACCAAAGATGATGGGAGGAAAATTGTTATCAAATATGTTGAAAGATACTGCGAGGATGCTCATAGGCTTTGTGCCAGTGAAAACCTGGCTTCACAGCTGCTCTATTACTATGTAGGTCCAAGGATGCCTGGAGGATACCAAATTATTGCAATGGAATACATCACGGGTACCCCACTACACAATTTTTCAAACATGATCTAGCCATAACCACCAGTATTAGTATCTATGAAGATTTAGAGAAAGCTATAACACAGGTGCTTCATCCTCAGGAGTTAGTCTTTGCAGACCTCCAACCACCAAACATCTTGATTGTCCACCCAGGATGGCAAGTATTGAGCAATGCTCATTGATTTTGATTGGTGCAGCCAAGATGGCATAGACACTTATCCAAGCTCAATGAATTAGAATATGGATCAGATTACTTGGCCTGAAAGAGTGATACCTGGCACTGTCCTCAAGAAGGAAGATGACAAGTTTATGCTTGATATAGATAGATTGAAGTATGCTCTTAACCTGTAATTGTATCTCTCCTTTCATATTCAGCAGTTCTTGCATGCATAAAAGAAAGATGTAAAGTGAAAGCAGGAAGTAGAAGTGCAAACTAAAAAAAATTATGTGATGAATATGCTAGCCCCAACAGTATTAGCTAGACATTGAAACTGTACATATCCACACTCGAACTGATAGAGTATTCTTACTATAATATATAATAAAAAGACATTACTGTATCAGAAGAAAATTGATTTTCATCTGTTTCAAAGAAGCTTGCAGTTCCACCCAGCTTGCTAGATCAATTGAGATTTTCATTTTAGGACACTAGAAAGATGGGGATTGTAAATAGATGGATTACTATAAAATAGGAGTTAACGAGATAGACCAATCATATGCGATGCCATTCCACCTTGCCTGCTGCACTTTGTGCACCAGGGCAGGGGAAGTTTAATAATGCGTATGGTTTTTTGAATAATATTGCAGTGTGGAATGGATCTGCAATATGAATTTGAGATGTGTGTTCACATCTAGCTTTAGTAATTCTAATAGTTTTTCAACAGAAACTACAGTCAATCGATTAAAATTTTAATCAACGCAATTGTCAAATAATGCCCTAGATTGTACATGAAATATAAAACTAATATATAGGAATACCCGTATATGGAAAATTATAATTATAATGGTTCAAACGAATATGAAAAAGCCATGCGTTTCTTGGAGATAGGTTGCAATTGTGGTTGCTCAAAAAAGATTCCGAGAGAAAGATTTGCCGAATTACGTGAGGCGTTTCAAGCTCTCTCTAGGTCCGAACAAGACATATTTTTAATGGCCCAACTAAAATAAAAAGTGATGAATGGTAGAGAAATAACTGCCAGCCGACGTCTTAAAAAGAAAAAACGCGTACTAATAAGCGAACGTTTTACTACTGAGATCGCAATACTCCACTTAGTCAGAAAACGTATCTCAATATGTTAGGAATTGGTCGCACTCACTTCGAAAATGTCAGAAATTACCTAGCGACGAATGGTATAATACCGCGTGTTCATGGTAACATAAAACAAATGCCGCGATGGAAAACCAAAATAACCTTTGATATAACTATCGCTACCACTGTGAAAAATTTTCTCGAAAACTATGCGGAAATTCATGGACTACCAAGTCCTGGTAGAATATCAATCGCATTACTCAATCGCTTACACTTTTGCCAGCCGAAACGAGTTACAAATCAGTCTATCGTGATTTTATTACAGGTCTCGAAAACGATAGCACGTTGAAATTGTTAAAATATGATGCGTTTTGTAAGTTATGACACCAATTAACGCCTTATGTTCAAATTATGAGTCCACGAACGGATTTATGTGACACATGCCAACATTTTACAATACAATGCTCGCAAAGAAGAAGAAGCAAAAGATTTATTGAAAAAATTCAAAGAACGTTAGTTAAGGCTAAATTGGCGTTAGAGAGAAACTACTACAACAAAAATACGAAATTAGCTTGAACAACAGAGAAAATTAGTGGACGAGAATTATCTTGTAACGCTGATTATTGAAGTGTTGACGCAACTGCTCATTACAATTACGATTGGGCACAAAATGTTCACGTGCCTCATTCTGATCAACAATTTATTATCTTAGCCCGCGTAAAGTACATTTATTTGGTATTCAAGATGAAGCCGTACGCGAACAGATTAATTATGTTCTTGATGAAGACGAAATTAACGGCAAAGGTCCTAATGGTACACTGAGCATGGTATTTGATGGGATTAAGCGATTGAATAAAGGGCGAAAAGCATTTGAAGATTACGTGCGATAATGCGGGTGATCAGAATAAGAATAATGCTACCATTTGGTTTCATTTATACTGTATTTAGTAATTTGCGGCTATTATGAAAGTATCGAACTAAATTTTATGGTACCTGGACATACTAAATTCAAGTGTGATGGTAGTTTTGGATTGATTAAGAAACTATATCGCAAAACGACTGTAGATTGTGTGAATCATATTGTTGAGGTTGTGAAAAGATCGAGCACAGCAGGATTAAACAAAGCTCAACGTTATGACAATGGGAAAGACTTTCAATACTTAGATCTTAGTTCTGTGCTGGGGATTTTCTTTAAAAATTAAGTGGCTTGCAAAAATATCAGCATTTTCTTTTTGAAGCAGCTAATCCTGGAATTGTTAAAGCTCAGATGGTTGCTAATGTTTTACTACATTTAATTTGTTAAAACTAGAAAAGCAAGCATTTCTGAAATTACCAAAGAAATTAAATCTTTTTCCATCCTCGTACTAACACCTCCTCCTTTAGATTATAAAAGGTAAGAATATCTTTACTATTATATCCGCCCATTTGTTAGAGACCATTCAAAGACATTACTTGTCCGCAACCAATTTATACTAGCAATTAATAAAATATTTCAAACAAACGCCTTCCACAACTTTATTACTCACAATATTAAATTGTTCTTGTTTCTATAATAATAACAAGTAAATTTAACAACCTTGCTAGCTTTTTTTCTTCTATTACTATATTCAAAGTTTACAGTAAAGAAAGTTCTATAAAAATGAAAATGCAGCCCAAAAGGAAAAAGATGATAAAACTGAAGACAACACTTTGAGTCAAATAAGTTCTTTAAACCAATCAAAAAGGCTGCTGAGAAATTATTTATATAATAATACAGTAAAAAGTTTGCTTTTTATAGACATCTAATGCTCGATTTAATATAAAACATAAATTATGAAATACAACATTTAGAAATTGAACTATTACTATTGAGTATAATAAAGTTCTGTATTATTATTATAACAAAATAAGAGACCTAGAAACCAAATATCCTATAAAGTGAGAGATTTAGAGGTGAAGTCAGAATTGATGCAAAAATCTACAGTCATCCCTCGTTTATAACCCCCCCCCCATTGTAACCCACCCTCGGATATATCCCAGCTTTGGGGCTGGACGGATTTCCCCTATTATGTCTCGGTATAAATTTCCCTCATTTGTATCCCAATCGATATATCCCTATCCCCGAAATTCACAGCGCCCGATTTCCCATATCC